ATATCACATTTATTGACTTGCTAATATTGTACAAGTCTTGCATCCCCAGAATAAATCCTACTTGGTCATGCTGTATGATCTTTTTAATATATTGCTGTATCTGATTTGCTAATATTTTGTTGAGGATTTTAGCATCTATGTCATCAGGAATATTGGCCTGCAATTCCCTTTCTTCATATGGTTGTGGAATTAGGATAATTCTGGCCTCATAAAAAGAGTTTGTAAAAATAACTAACACCTATCCTCCTCAAACTAATCCATAAAATCCATCCTATTGGTGTTAATTATTATTTGAATGATTGGTAAAACTGCCCTATGAAGCCATCCTGACCAGGGCTTTGTTTGCTGGAATTATTTTGATTACTGCTTCAATTTCATCAATTGTTATTGGCCTATTCAGGTTTTCTGATTCTTCCTGATTCAGTTTTGGAAGATTGTGTTTCTCTGGGAATTTGTTCATTTCACCCACATTGTCCAAGTTGTTGGCATATAGGTGTTCATAGTATTTTCTTAAAATCCTTTGTTTTTCTGTGGTGTCAGTTGTTACTTCACCACTTTTGTTTCTGATTTTACTTATTTGGGTCCTCGATCTTTATTTCCTGATGAGTCTGACTGAAGGTTCATCAATCTTGTTTATCTTTTCAATGAACCAGCTCTTGGTTTCATTGATCTTTTGTCTTGGATTTTTATTCTCTATGTCATTTATTTCTGCTCTAATCTTTATTAATTCCTTCCTTCTACTTAATCTGGGTTCTTCTTGTTGCTCTCTTTCTAATTTATTTTAAGTTGTAGGGTTAAATAGTACATTATTAATTTTTCTTATTTATTGAGGTAGGCCTGTAGTGCTATGAAATTCTCTCTCAGGACTGCTTTTGCTGTGTCTCAGAGATTTGTGGTTGTTGTGTGCTCATTTTCACTTATTTCCAGAAAATTTTTTATTTCTTTCTTGATCTCATTGGTAACCCATTTATTGCTTAATGACATGCTATTTAGCCTACATGTATTTGAATGTTTTTGAGGGTTTTTTATTGTTGATTTCTAATTTCATTTCATTGTGATTTGAGATGATATTTGATGTGATTTAAATCTTCTTGAACTTGTAGAGGCTTATTTTGTATCCTAACATGTGGTCTATCTTTGTGACTGACCCATGTGCCCTTGAGAAGAAAGTATATTCTGCAGCTTTGGGGTAAAATGCTCTAAAAATGTCAGTTAAATCCATCTGATCCAGTGTGTCATTTAGAGTCACTCTTTCCTTGTTAGTTTTTTGTCCAGAAGATCTATCCAGTGAAGTCAGCAGGGAGTTAAAGTCTCCTAAAAGGAATATATTATTGTCAATCTTTCCCTTAAAGTTCTCTAAAATATTTTTTATACATTTAGGTGCCCCTATATTGGGTGCATGTTTGTTTACCAGGGTTATATCCTTTTGTTTGATTGATCTATTTAGTATTATGTAGTGACCTTTGTTGTCTCTTGTGATGTTCTTCATTTTGAAGTCTATTTTTTATCAGATATGAGTAGTCCTCCCCCAGATTTTTTTTCTTTTACATTTGCATGTAAAATATTTTTCCATCCCTTCACTTTCATCATGCATGAGTCTTTTGTTTTGACGTGGGTCTCTTGTACACAGCATATAATTGGGTCATGTTTTTTTATCCATTCAGCTCCCCTATTTCTTTTGATTGAAGCATTTAATTCATTTACACTTAAGGTTATTATTGATAGGTGCTTATTTATTACCATTTTAATTCTTTATGCCTATGTTTCTCTCTCTCTCTCTCTCTCTCTCTCTCTCTCTCTCTTTCTTCTTGTCATTATAGCATCTCTATAGCATTTCTTGTAGTGCTTGTTTAGTGGTGATAAACTCCTTTAGACTTTTTTTTTTTTTTTGGTCTGGGAAGCTCCTTATATCACCCTCTATTTTGAATGATAACCTTCCTGAATATAATAATCTTGGTTTCAGATCCTTGCTTTTCATGACCTTGGGTATTGCATGCCATTCCCTTCTGGTGTGTAGTGTTTCTGATGAGAAATCAGTTGAAAGCCTTATGGGAGCTCCTTTGTAGATAACAAATTGTTTTTCTCTTGCTGCCTTTAACATATTCTCCCTGTATTTAATTTTTGGCCTGTTAATTATGATGTATGTGCATGAGCCTGTTTAGGTTCTTCTTGTTTGGGACTCAATGCCTCCTGGACTTGTGTATCTTTCTCCTTCAATAGGTTAGGGAAGTTTTCTGCCATTATTTCTTCAAACACTTTCTCTATACCTTGCTCCTTTCTTCTCCTTCTGGCATACCTATTGTACAAATATTGTTATGTTTCATGTTGTCCCACAGCTCCCTTTAGCTGTCCCACTGTTTTTTAATTTTCCTTTTTTTTTTGATTCTCTGTTTGTGTGATTCTTTTCCAGCCTATCTTCTATTTCACTGATCTGATCCTCAGATTCCCCTAATCTGCTATGTATTCCTTTCACTCTGTTTTTTACTAGTGCTATGTCATTCTTTATAGTTACTATATCATTTCTTATGCTGTTGAGAATCTTTGCTATCATTATACTGAACTCTATGTCTGATAAATATCTAATCTGCATTTCATTTATCTCTTTTTCTGTGAAATTCTCTTTTTCTTTCATTTGGGGGTGTTCTTTTTTCCCCCCATTTTGGCTGCCTGTTTAGGTTTGTGATTATGTACTAGGTAACTCTACTACACCACCCAATCTGTATTGTAGGACAATGTTAAGGTTGTTTATGACTAATTAGATCAGGCAAGGACTCAAAGCCCCCAGAGACCTGACTCTGCTTGCAGACTGATTGGATTTAGTGTTGAATAACCTCTGGTAATCTTCCACAGGTGGGGCATGAGATTTTTCAACAGGTTGGGGCCATTGCTTCCGCCTGGAGGATAATTGTTCATCTTAGTCTCTTAATGGGCCTCAGAAACTCCACAGCATGGTGGAAGGGGTTTTCTAACAGCATGGGGCAACTTCTTGCCCTCTGGAAAATACTGCCTGGATAGCAAAGGTCTGCCTGAGAAAGATGTTATCTGCAGCATGAGGGAATGATATAGCACAGGATAGCAGGGTATCTGACTTATGAGCTCTAACCCCAGAGCTTTCAACCCTGGCTTCTGCTCACCCAGTTCCAGTCCAACCTGCCCTCCCTCTGCCAGAACCCACCTGAGTGGCTGCATACACAATTTTGTGTGTTGGCCCTTTAAGAGGGTACTTGCCTCTCCAGCTGTCTCTCTTTGGCAGACAGCAACCCTGCTGCTTTTCACAGCCAGATGTTATGTGGGCACCTTTCTCAGTTCTGGTACTCTCTATTGGAGGACCCAGCTTGGGTTTAGACCCCAGAGTTCTCAGTGGCAATCCCTCACAGATGAGACCTCTCTAGAATTTCAGCTGCATGGGAGCTCGGACAGCCATTTCATACCTATGTCCTTCCTACCAACCTCTATGTGGTCTCCACTTTTCATCTTTGGTTATCAGGGTTCTCTCTAGCTAGTCTTCAATTGATTATTCTGGATGTTTTTCTGTATTTTAGTTGTAATTCCAGTGTGGTCATGGGAGCTTATCTATAGCATCCACTTACTCCACCACCAAGAAAGGCAGTTTTTGATGCAGCTTTAAGAGAAGACAACAGAATTGTACTTCAAAAAACTTCAGAAAATAAAAAGTTAGCTGTGCAAAAGTCAAAATCGTTTCATTCATGAGGTACAGATTCCAGAAAACTAATTTATGTTTCTGATCACATCAACTTTCTTTTTTTCTTTATTATTGAAAGTATTAAAGATGTCCCTTTGTTTTGTTTTTCCCACTGATGTCCTCCACCCAATACCCACCCCTCCCAAGCCTTCACCACACTATTGTCTATGTCCAAGGTCTATGCCTATTTGCATATCAGTTCCCTGGTTAATTTCACACCACCCACAAACCCCCATGAGTGCCTCCCCTCTGAAATTCGCCAATCTGTTCCATGCTTCTATGTCTCTGGATTTATTTTATTCATCCGTTTTTTTGTTGTTGTTGTTCATTAGATTACACATATGAGTGAAATCATGTGATGCTTGTCTTTCTCTGACTGTCTTATTTTGCTTAGCACAATGCTCTTCATGTCCATCCATGCTGTTGCAAATGGTAAAGGTTCCTTCCTTTTACAGCTGCACAGTGATTTATGGTGTAAATATACCAAAGATTTTTTATCCACTCATCTGTTGGTGGGCACTTTGGCTATTTCCAAATCTTAGCCATTGCAAATTGTGCTGCTATGGACATAGTGGTGCATATATATTTTCTGATTGGTGTTTCAAGTTTATTGGAAATATTCCTAGAATTGGTATCTTTAGGTCAAATGGCAGTTTCATTTTTAATTTTTTTTTTGGGGGGGGGAGGGAGACTCCATACTGTTTTCCACAGTGGCTACACCAATCTGCATTCCACCAGCAGTGTACTAGGGTTCCCCTTTCTCCACACCCTCACCAACACTTATCATTTGGGGATTTGTTGATTATAGCCATTCTGAAATGTGTGATGTGATACAGTGTCCTTTTAATTTGCATTTCTCTGATGATTAATGACTTTGTGCATTTTCTCATATGTCTCTTGGCCTTCTGTATGTCCCCTTTGGAGAAGTGTCTATATAGGTCCTTGGCCCATTTTTTAATTGGATTGTTTGTCTTCCTTTTGTTAAGTTGTATGAGCTCCTTATATATTTTGGAAATTAACCCCTTATATGATGTATCATTGGAAAATATTTTCCCCCATTCAGTGGGCTCTCTTTTCACTTTGTTGGTGGTTTCTTTTGCTGTGCAGAAGCTTTTTATTTTGAATTAGTCCTATTTGTTTATTTTCTCCTTAGCCTTAGGGGATATAGCTGTAAACATTTTACTATGATAGATGTCTGAGATTTTGCTGTCTATGGTTTCTTCTTAGATTTTTGTGGTTTCATGACTTACATTTAGGTCTTTTATCCATTCTGAGTTTATTCCTTTTCTTTTTTTCACCTTGTCACACCACCGATTGAAGCAAAGCAACACGACACGCTGCCGCTTCACCCCAAAGTGGTGTTTTTCCTTTGCCCTTTCTTGACGGCTCAGTGGGTCATTAGCTTGAGTTTATTCTTGTGTATAGTATAAGCTGGTGGTCTAGTGTCATTTTTTTAAAGTATCTGTCTAGCTTTCCCTACACCATTTAGTGAAGAGACTATCTGTACTCCATTGTATATTCATGCCTCCTTTGTCAAATATTGAGCATAATGGCATGGGTCAATTTCAATCTTCTTGAACTTGTAGAAACTCATTTTGTGTCCTAACATGTGGTCTATCTTTGAAAATGCCCCATGTGCTTTTGAAAAGAATGTATATTCTGTATAGCTTTTGTGTGAAATGTTCCTTAAATGTCAATTCCATCTGATCTAGTGTGTCTTTTAGGATCACTGTTTCCTGGTTGATTTATCCAGTGATGTCAGTGGGGTGTTAAAGTAACCCTCTAAGATTGTATTGTTGTCCATCTCTCCCTTAAAAACCTCTAGAAGTTTTTTTTTTTTTAAATATATATTTTGATGGTTTTGTATAGGGTGCATATATGTTTACCAGAGTTATAACCTCTTGTATCAATTCCTTTAGTATTATGATGTGGCTTTCATTGTCTCTTCTTATGGCCTTCACTTTTAAGTCTATTTTGTCAGATATGAGTATTGCTATTACAGCTATTTTTTCATTTCCATTTGCCTAGAAATTTTTTTCTGTCTAGTGTGATTAGATTTTCATTCTGTGTGAATCTTTTGTTCTGGGGTGAGTTTTTTGTAGATAGCATATATATGGATCATGTGTGTGTGAGAGAGAGAGTGTGTGTGTGTGTTTTAAAAATTATTTATTTATTTATTTATTCTTAATTTTTATTGTTGAATGTATTGCAGATGTCCCCCTTTCCCTCCCTCTGGGTCTTGTTTTCTTATCCATTCATCTATTCCATGTCTTTTTTTCTTTATTGATTAAGGTAATATATATGTGTCCTTATCCCCCCATTTCCCCCCACCTCACTTGCATTCATGTCCTCACTCCCCTGGTGTCTGTGTCCATTGGTTATTCTTATATGCATGCATACAAGTCCTTCGGTTGATCTCTCCCCCTTACCCCCAACCCTCCCTTACCTTCCCTATGAGGTTTGAGCATCTCATTGATGCTTCTCTGTCTCTGGATCTGTTTCCATTCATCAGTTTATGTTGTTCATTACAATACACAAAATGAGTGAAATCATGTGATATTTATCTTTTTCTGACTGACTTGTTTCACTTAGCATAATTCTTTCCAGCTCCATCCATGCTATTGCAAATGGTAGGAGTTCCTTCCTTTGTATAGCAGCGTATATTCCATTATGTAGATGTACCACAGTTTTTTTTGGTTTGTTTTTGGGGTTATATATATATACATACATATATATATATATATATATATATATATATATATATATATCCTCCTGCACATCTCCTACTGGGGATAGGCCCACAACCCAGGTACATGCCCTTGACCGGAATCGAACCTGGGACCTTTCAGTCCACAGGCCGACGCTCTATCCACTGAGCCAAACCAGTTTCAGCTAGATGTACCACAGTTTTTTAATCCACTCATCTGCCGATTAGCACTTAGGCTGTTTCCACATCTTAGCTGTTGTAAATTGTGCTGCTATGAACATAGGGGTGCATATATCCTTTATGATTGTTGTTTCTAGTTTCTTGGCATGTATTCCTAGAAGTGGGTTCACTGGGTCAAATGAGAGTTCCATTTTTATTTTTTTGAGGTAACTCCATACTATTCTCTACAGTGGCTGCACCAGTCTGCATTCCCGCCAGCAGTGCACTAGGGTTCCTTTTACTCAGCATGCTTGCCAGCACTTGTCATTTGTTGATTTGTTGATAATAGCCATTCTGACAAGTGTGAAATGGTACCCCATTGTCATTTTGATTTGCATCTCTCGGATGATTAGTGACTTTGAGCATGATTGGAAAAGAATAGGTAAAACTGTCATTATTCGCAGATGACATGATACTGTACAAAGAAAACCCCCAAGATTCCTTAAAATATATTAGACTTAATAAAAGAATTCAGCAATGTAGCAGGATACAAAATTAATGCCAAGAAATCTATGGTATTTTTATACAGCAATAGTGAACTTAAAGAAAGAGAGTTTAAAAAAAAAAATCCTATTTACCATTGCACCAAAAAAATTAAGATACCTAGGAATAAATTTAACTAAGGAGGTAAAAGACCTGTATTCAGAAAACTACAGGATGTTGAAAAAGATATAGAGGAAGACATAAGCAGATGGAAGAACATACCATGTTAATAGATAAGTAGAATCAACATCATTAAAATGTCCATACTACCCAAAGTAATCTATAGATTCAATGCACTCCCCATTAAAATACCAATGGCATATTTCACAGACCTAGAACAAACTCTTCAAAAATTCATCTGGAATAAAAAAGTCCCCGAATAGCTGCAGCAATATTGAGAAAGAAGAACAAAGTAGGTGGGATCTCAATACCAGATATCAAGCTGTATTACAAAGCCACTGTTCTCAAAACTGCTTGGTACTGGCACAAGAACAGACATATACACCAATGGAATAGAATAGAGAATGCAGAAATCGACCCAAACCACTATGCTCAATTAATATTTAAAAAGGAGGTAAGAGCATACAATGGAGCCACGACAGTCTCTTCAATAAATGGTGTTGGGAAAATTGGACAGATACATGCAAAAAAATGAAATTAGACCACCAACTTACACCATACACAAAAATAAATTCAAAATGGATAAAGGACTTAAATGTAAGATGAGAAACCATAAAAATATTAGAGGAATCCACAGGCTGCAAAATCTCAGACATATGCCCAAGCAATATCTTCACTGATACATCTCCTAGGGCCATGGTCGGCAAACTGTGGCTGGCGAGCCACATGTGGCTCTTTGGCCCCTTGAGTGTGGCTCTTCCTAAGCCTTAGGAGTACCCCAATTAAGTTAATAACAATGTACCTACCTATATAGTTTAAGTTTTAAAAATTTGGCTTTCAAAAGAAATTTCAATCGTACTGTTGATATTTGGCTCTGTTAACTAATGAGTTTGCCAACCACTGTCCAGGGCAATGGAAACTAAAGAGAAAATAAACTAATGGGACTATATCAAAATAAAAAGCTTCTGCACAGCCAATGAAACCACAAAACAACAAGAAAGTCCACTGTATGGGAGAACATATTTGCCAATGTTATCACCAATAAGGGTTTAATCTCCAACATTTATAGGGAACTCATACAACTTAACAAAACGAAGATGAACAACCCATTCAAAAAAAATGGCCAATGGACCTAAATAGATACTCTTTGAAAGAGGACAAAGGAAGGCCAAGAGACATATGAAAACCTACTACATGTCTTTTGATTGGAGCATCTACACATGTACATTTAATGTTATTATTGACTAGAGTCCCAGTGCATGAAATTTGTGCATGGGGTTTAGGTCCCCTCAGCCTGGCCTGTACCCTCTTACAATCCAGGACCCTTTGGGGGATGTCTGACTGCAAGTTTAGGCCCGATCCTGCCAGTTTAGGGATCGGGCCTAAACTGGCAGTTGGCATGATCGGGCCTAAACCAGCAGTTGGACATCCGTCTTGCAATCTGGGACCACTGGCTCCTAACCACTCGCTTGCCTTCCTGATTACCCCTAACCACTCACCTACCTTCCTGATTGCCCCTAACCACCTCTGCCTTGGCCCCCACTGTTGAGGGATGTTTAATGAACCGAAGACACAGAGGTAAGACGAGCACACAGGATGATTGATGCCCGACAGAGGGCTACAGCTCGCTCAGGCATGTAGCAAACTGCACTCTCACCATCACTTTTATTGGGGTTTACAAGGTTAGTGCATCAGCAGTTAATCAACTAAATCTTGTTTTGTTCTATATTATTACAACAGCGTATTGAAGACAACTTGCAGCTGTGCCCTCCCTTTCTGCTCTACACCCACGGCTATTTAATCTTAGCCTTCCTCAGGGAGGTAAATGTTCCTGGAACTCAAGATTGTGTGCAATCTTGACCCAGCATGACTCGCTTGCAAGTCACGCTGTGCTCCTGATAGTACATTCACTTCTTGGCAGGACTTCAGATCGTTGTTTACAAATGTCCAGCTACACCCACTGCTGTGGCTTTGTCCAGAAGGATGTCCAGAACGTCGTTTGGCTCTCCTGTCTAATTAGCATATTATGTTTTTATTATTATAGATAGGTGCTTATTTGTTGCCATTCTTACTCTTACACCTGTGTTTTTCTCTTTCTCTCTGTTTCTTCTTACAAGAGTCACTTTAGCATTTCTTGCAGTGCTGGTTTGGTGATAATAAATTCTTTTTGCTTTTTTTTTTGTCTCTGCAGCTTTTTATTTCACCTTTGATTTTGAATGATAGCCTTGCTGGATAGAGTGGTCTTGGGTTCAGGCCCGTGGTTTTTATTACTTTGTATACCCCATGCCACTCCCTTTTGGCCTGACATGTTTCTATTAAGAAATCAGCTGACAGTCTAATGTGACCTCCCTTGTAAGTAACTTTCTGTCCCTCTCTTGCAGCTGTTAAGATTATTTCTTTGTTTTTAATGTTTGCCATTTTAATTATTACATGCCTAGGTGTGAGTCTTTTGGGATTCATCTTGTTTGGGATTCTCTGTGTTTCCTGAACTAGAGTGACTTTTTCCTTCACCAGGTTAGGGAAGTTTTCTGCCATTTTTTTCTTGAAACAGGTTTTCTATTCCTTGCTTTGATTCTTCTACTTCTGGTACCCTTATGATACGAATGTTATTACATTTCATGTTGTTCCATAGCCCCCTTAAGCTCTCCTCCTGCTTTATTTTTTTTTTAATTTGATACTCTGAATGGGTGTGTTTTGGCTTTTTCTATCTTTTCTTCTTATTCACTGATTCAGTCCTCAGTTTCTTCTAGTCTACTGTTGAATCTTTCCAAAGTGTTCTGTATTTCACCTTTGTTGCTCATTTCCAATTGATTCGTATTCATTGTTTCAACTTCTCTTTTTAAGTTGGTGCAACTCTCACCAAGTCCCTTATAATTATCACTAGAG